GATGCTACCACCAATTAATGGTACAGTGGTTCATGTACTGACAGTTCCTGTTTGAAATGCTCTCATCCCAGCTGATGCCCACATTCAAAATACAGGACCCAGAAAATACTAGATAGATGCAAATCACCCTATGCATATGTAATGTATATTAAGTACATTGCCCAATATGTCACATTCAGGGATTATGTCATTTTGTTTACTGCATAGATGGCCTGCAGTTTTTACAGATTCAATTCCATTTAAAATAAACTCCAAGAAGTTGTCCAATATTTTACGATGTATTAAAATGAAATGCTTCTTCAAGTAACTGAGCTACCCATTGAAGTCTGAAGATCTACTTACTGGAAGGATGTTTTTAAAAATCATAATATGGCTGGGCACTGTGCCTCACGCCTGTAATCCCAGCACTCTGGGAGGCTGAGGTAGATGGATCATGAGGTCAGGAGTTTGAGGCCAGCCTGGCTAACATGGTGAAGCCCTGTCTCTACTAAAAATACAAAAATTAGCCAGGTGTGGTGGTATGTGCCTATAATCCCAGCTACTCAGGAGGTTGAGGCAGGAGAATTCCTGGAGCCTAGAATGCCCTGCCAAGAGGCAGAGGTTGCAGTGAGCCGAGACTGTGCTGTTGCACCGGTGGCAGAGTAAAATTCCCTCTCAAAAAAAAAAAAATCATAATATATTTTTGTCATCATATTTGGCCTGTACCACAATTAAATATATGTATAATACTGCAATCGCTATGGCAAATGTTTTAGCTAGGTTAGATCATTCATCCCACATGACAACCGTACAAGATAGTAATTATAACTATTTATGTGTATACAGTTATCTATTTTACAGATGAGAGGAGAAAGGTGTTAAGCTTCCCAAATTCTCACAGTGCTTTAGTTTCCCTGAGGGAAAAAAAATTCCTTATGTCAGAATTAGTTTTTCTATGTGGTTGATCAGTTAAAGAATACCAATAAATTGATAAATGTGGTAATAAGCTTAATATGTTTCTATTGCACCTCAAGTTCAGTACTGCAGTACAGTAACAGGATGTTACTTCAGACAATGTCTAATTACCAGTGCTTTTGCTTAGAATTTGAAGCTAATTGGAATAGGATTTTGTTTAGTATAAACAGACATCTCAAAAGAGGCTGATTAAGGGATAATACATTTCTTACTCAGGAAACATTTAAAGGAAATCAGCAAAATGTTGTGTCTAGTTAAACATAGGCCCAGTCGTGCCTGAATAACTGCGCAGGAAGAAAACAGAGACAAGAGCAAAGATACCGAAGGGCCTCGAAATAACCTACACGCTTGGTTTCCTTTTGATATCTGTTCTTGAATCCGGCAGTATCAGGAGGATACTATATCTTGACCACCGGCTTAAGAAATTCACCAAGAAAGAAAAGCAACGTTATCAATTCTAAATTATGGTTATTTTTGAGGAAAGAAGTCCTAGCAAAAAAAAAATTATAGTGTAATAATAGGTTTGTAAAGTAATATATTCTGTCCCATGTCATTGATATGTTACTCTTACACAATCTAATTTTAAAAATTCAATCATTTGTACATGCTGAGTTCATATGCTATATAAAGGAATCTTCTTAAATAAATGAATCGAGTCATTAAGTAGCTTGAAGTCATCTTTTTTCATTCATTCATCTTACATACTGCCTTTAAATTCTCCAAAAATGTACAAATGCATTTGGAGGGGATAACGGTGAAGGAAGGCATGGTCTTTCTCCTTATCTCCTTACTGGAGAACGTGCCCTTGTATACAGTGGTCACAACAGCCCTACATATGAGATTGTTTTCCAACAGCAGTGTAAATCCTAAACACAGATCTCAGGAAATGCCTTAATGACTCCTCAACATCACTAAGGAAGATGACCAGAGAATATGAAGAAAAGTATAAATCGTGCAACAAGTAGAGGAGATACAGGTAGCTTTTAACTATCCTGTTCAGACACTGAAGAAAGTCTTAGCAAACAACTCTTTCAGATCTGAGGGTGGGAAGAGACTCACTCCAACTAAAAGTACTAAATTTGCAGAGAAGATGGCACTGGAGAACTCGGAGAGGGTTGCAGCAGGGCGTCCACACTGACAAGAAGGCATGCATCACGTGTAGGAAAATGCTCAAGGCCACTTGGGATGGGAGAGAGCCCTATGTGACTAGTTTCAATGAGGATCAATACTGAGGACTGAGTCAGCAGTGCTTCCCTAGAAGGAGAAGGCCACACTGAATTTGTTGGACTTGATTCTGCCATTGTTCTTTGGAGAGGGTAACGCCACCCAGACTGGAATTTAGAAAGATAACAGACAGGACTAAGAAGGATCACAGGGGGCTCTGAGAGGGGTGTAAATGCTGTGACTTCACTATGCTAGACAGGGGGTGATACATTCCTGAATCAAATAAAGGAAATGGGTGGGGAAGAACCGATTTGAGAAAAAGTATAGAAACAGAATCAGGGCCCGGCGCGGTGGCTCAAGCCTGTAATCCCAGCACTTTGGGAGGCCGAGGCGGGTGGATCACGAGGTCAAGAGATCGAGACCATCCTGGTCAACACGGTGAAACCCCGTCTCTACTAAAAATACAAAAAATTAGCTGGGTATGGTGGCGCGTGCCTGTAATCCCAGCTACTCAGGAGGCTGAGGCAGGAGAATTGCCTGAACCCAAGAGGCGGAGGTTGTGGTGAGCCGAGATCGCGTCATTGCACTCCAGCCTGGGTAACAAGAGCGAAACTCCATCCCCCCCCCCAAAAAAAAGAAAAGAAACAGAATCAATAAAACTCTGTAGCTAGATGTAAGCGCTAAGGATGGAGAAGCAAGAAGAGCACAGGCGACAGGCAGGATGCTGGTGAAAAGAGCAGAGAGAGGGGACACAGTAGCAACTACAGTCCCGATAATAGAGACCCCACCAGAGCTGTGCCCATTGAGTTTGCGATGCTGTCAGGATTCCCAGAGATGTGGCGGAGCCAGGCCTGGTGTTTGGCACAGAGCGGTGCTACTCCAGTGACTCTGGAAATCCCACCAGCGACAGCTGAAGATGTTACAGGGAGAAACCTAGACAAGGGAGTGGGCACATGAGAATCACAATAGGGACAAAGGAACCCCCCAAAAGGTGGGAATCAGCAGTGAAGACACAGGAGAGCATCAGAGACCAAGGAAGAAGGGTGTCCTGTCAAGTCAAACGTGGACACATTTTTGTGACCTCCAGATTTGGCAGTTTTGTCATTTGAAAAGAATCTTCTTTAGTAGAGAGGGGCTGATGCCAATTTTAAGGGTTTTAGGAGTAAGAACGAGGTTAGGAGATGGTAGAAGCCTTTGGTAGAACAACTGGTCAAATATATTTTAAGAGATTTCCACTTCCAGCAATAAGAAGACACAGCAGTCTAGAATTAACTTCCTACCGTAAGCAACTAGAAACCTAGTCAAAACATAGAAAACAACTATTTTCAGCAGAAATTGGGGGTCAAGATGGCTAAGGCTGTAACTCCTGAGAAAAGGAAATAAAGAAGGGGTGCTCCATCATCACCTCAACTTCCTGGGCACTGCAGTGCAGGGAGCAAAATTAAACCACACTGCAACAGGGGACAGAATTCTGACACTGGGGAGGCTAATGTGGTCAGCATCTTTAGACAGACGACCTGAGAGGAGAGAGCTACACAGAGAAAGAGCTCCAGAAATCAGCACGCGTCATCTTCAGTCTTTAATTCCTAGCCTGGGCATGAGTAAGGGAAAATCCTATAAGCCCAGACGAGAACAACTTCTGTGAAAAGAATAATTACCAGGTGACCATAAGATGAACAACCACGGGCACCCTGACAGTACCCAAGCAGAGGAAGAGACTGCATTGGCCACGCTGACTGAATATCCTGAGTATTCAGTCAAGGAGGGCTACGTAGTGGAAATGGGGCTAAATTAGGCCTTAGGATGAAGGTTACTCTGAAATTGGTCTAAAAAAGATTAAAAGGCAATTTAAAAATAAAGGATTAGCATGTAACTTAACTGCCTGCCAGGGAAGAGCCAACACACACACACAAAATAATGAAGCCAGGTGTGGTGGTACACACCTGTAGTCCCAGCTACTCAGGATGCTGAGGTGGGAGGATTGCTGGAACCCAGGAGTGTGAGGCTGTAGTGAGCCACTGCACTCCAACTTGGGCATCACAGCAAGAGCCTCCTTCCAAAGAAAAAAAATTAATTAACAAAAAAAAACCCCATGAAACCTAAGCCCTCAGTAATACAAAATGTATAATGTCTGACAACCAATAAAAAATTATTAGACATAGGAAAGAAGAGAGAAATGTGGTCTGCAATCAGGAGAAAAATTAATCAATAGAAACAGACCGGCCAGATGCAGTGGCTCACCCCTGTAATTCCAGCACTTTGGGAGGCTGAGGTGAGTGGATCACCTGAGGTCAGGAGTTCGAGACCAGCCTGGCCAACATGGTGATAACTCATCTCTACTAAAAATACAAAGATTAGCTGGACATGGTGGTGGGCACCTGTAATCCCAGCCACTTAGGCAGGAGAATTGCGTGAACCTGTGAGGCCAAGGTTGCAGTGAGCTGAGATCATGCCACTGCACTCCAGCCTGGGTGACAGAATGACACTCTGTCTTAAAAAAAAAAAAAAAAAAAAAAACAGAAAGGACTGTGATGACAGAATCGGAGGAAAAAGAACTTTTCAAAAGATGCTTCAAATTCTTGCTGAAGAACATAAAGAAAAACAGGAACATAAAGAGGAAAGAAATGAAAGATACAAATATTTTGATGGTACCAAGGAGGCTTGGCATGGAGTAAATACTTAATTCATTGATTAGATCGAAAGACAACTAATACTGGTTACATTGTTTCACTGCTAGATACAGAAATTGGTGGCATTCTGACTCAAAATGATGTATACATTGGACCTTTTATAAGAATGGGAAAAGTATAGTCATCCTCCTTTAAACCATAACTGTTTAAAAAAAAGTTACAACTAAATACTACTCTACTCCCATTTTTTACATTTAACCATTACAACATCATTCAAAACAACATAACCTGTACTTTGTGCCCCTAGTTGACTGCCTTACGGTAGTCCTACACATTTTTAGGCAGCCGCAACCACACTATGTACATTCCTTTCTAGATCACGTCACATACCAGTTGCCCGCAGTTCTTTGATGCAACAAATTTCCAATGACTGATGAAAGACAATCTGTACTTTATCCCTTTAGATGCGTGTGTATATCACCAAGAGCTCGGAAAATGGATCAATTCAAGATAAAACATTTTGCTAACAACTTTCATGGTTCACTGGCAAAGAAAAGAAGGCCTATTAGCTTGGCACTCCAGATATGGCCTTGCCCATATGGCAAAAAAAAATACCAGATTTTTCAAAAGTCAATCAAACCATTCTGGCCTATTAAAATAAACAGCATGGTCAATAAAACTGGTGGTGTTATTTAAGTCCGTCTGTTATCCTCCCAAAAGACTGGAAGAACATTACTATCAGAAATTGTATCTGGATTTCTCTTTCGGCCCCAATCGCTTTTAACACAGATCATGATGCATGGCAAGAACATATTTCCTAAATATAAAAATCAGGACACAGCTGACATATGGCCTAACAATAGGACAAAAAATGGAAATACAGATGAATATAATGAGGCTCACAGAGGTCAAATAACTTGCCCAACATCCGAGTAAAAGGCAGAGCCAGGATCTGAATCCAATGCCACATGGGTCTGTCTACAACAGCAACTCCTGGCACTGGCACGCACCTGCACACACAGGTAGAACAATGGCTGTGAAGGTGCAAAGGCAGGCTGCGATCACAAAGGCCCAATGAAGAGACAGTGTATACTGAAAACTGCTTCCAGGAATCCTGAAGGTTATCATAAGCAAAGAATAGTATTAAAACTCATATTCACACAAAGCAAGCTATGTTAACTCTCTCTCTCTCTCTCTCTCTCTCTCTCTCACACACACACACACACACACACACACATACACAAAGTGCTAGAAAGCACTATCAATAAATATTCCAAAGGTAAGCAAAATGTGAAGAGTAGCGTCGGTTAAACAGGGACTGCTAATTTTCTAGTCCAATGAATATACTTACGCTTCTGAGTACATATACATCTGCCAAATTTTTTCATTATTTCTAATTTAAAAAATCTTTTTAAAGAGACAGGCAGTTCATTATGTTGCCCAGGCTGGTCTCAAACTCCTGGCTTCAAGCAATCCTCCCACTCCAGCCTCCTAAAGTGCTGGGATTACAGGCATGAGCCAGCATGCCCGGCTTGCATTTACCAAGCTTTTAAGGACACAAATTTGTTTCTTAACATTTAACCATTTTTACTCAGCATCAAAACTGGCACAGATAGTGAAAGGTAATATGCACTTTATACAAACCATTTAACATGGTTATAAAAGACAGACATGCAGTATTTCATAATCTGGAAGAAATGAAAAATACCTACTTATACATTTATCTGTTTTCTTTTCTCATTGCCAGCATGAGCCGGTCAGAATTCCAGTCTGTGCTGGGTCTATTTTTATGTTTTAGATTAGCTACTCACCCAAAAAACCTAAGACATAACTGTGTGTTCAGAGAGGTGCCCAGAATTTTGGCTTTTAAGAAGTTCCAGTCAGATGCCCCCCTGTATGGTCTGTCTCTGGCTTTGATCTGATAATTCTTCTTTTTAAAATGCACACTTTAAGAAGAAGAATGGCTCTTCTCTGCACAAGCATCCTATTAATCTGAGGGCCCATCTCTCAACTTCTCTGCATCAGAGCCATACTCCCTAGGTGGCAGCACAGACGCCTGGGACAGCAGCCACTACCTGGATCCACCAGGCATGCTGCACATCCAAGGCCACGTGCTAGGCTACATCTGAAGTAACTAAAGAAATAGTTTGAAAATAAGGTATATGCACAGATAGTGATCTCATCTGCTGAGCACGCCACACACAAGATGCTTTGTTCTTTCCAATTGATGGCATAGTCTAAGAATGTGGCCAAACTATGTATTTCCTGCCTGCTGCATACGATAAATCCATCTTAACTCTAAGAACATATGAAATAGAAAATGTACATGCTATTATCAGCAATTTAAAGGATTAAAGAAAACTGTCTAAATACATACACAGACACATACACATACACATGTGCACACACACACAGAGCCTTCCACAGCCTAGAACTCTTAGCTTTAAGTACAGTTAAAAAAAAAAGTTGGATCAATTAGCAGCCTTGTGAATGTTGGAAACATCTTAACGGTGTCTCAGAGATGAAAGATCATAATACAGAACGAGAAGAAGGAGGGAAGTTAAATTATGTCTGCAGTCATAATGAATCAAAGCTCAGAAGGAGGTCTGCAAATCAGCAGGTTCTAATGAAATATTAAGGTAAGTGATTATTGATGAAAAATGAATAAGGCTTTTTGATTTCAGCAACCTTTAAATCACACCTAGCTAATTAAAACAACTCAAATGCATTCATTCATTCCTTGATGGGCATTTAGCTATCCTTGCGTATAGAGAGACTTCATTTTAGGAGGTATGTATGTAGTTGACCCCAAGTAAGTAGACAAAATGTGCCAGAAAAAAACATACTCAGTAATAAAATTTTAAAAAGTAAGCCCCTTTTCAGATTTTGTGTATCATTTCCAAGCTGGAAATAAATAAATAAATAACACTCAGGACATTTCCTGTTTACCATAAAGAAACATCAATAATAGTATACTACATATTTATTAACATGGAACTTACTTTAATCAGCATATAATGAATACAAGGCATTTATAACACTACATTATACAATTCTACAGCAGATGTTGTTTATATATACAGTAGAGCTCTTGAAGACGGCCTTACCATTCCCCTCTACACTTCTAGGAGGAAAGCAGTTTTCTCTTCAAAGTGAGAATTATCCAGGTCGCATCACAAGCTCTGGGAGAATCTGACTCCAGGCCTGAGGCCTGCACGATCTTCAATCACATCCTCTAATATCGTAAACCTCTTTCACCTTAGTCTCCTGCTATGGAGATTAATCTTTGGCTATTCAAGTGACATACTACACCAAGCTGGACATAGTGGACCATGCCTGAAATCCCAGCAATTCGCGAGGTCAAGGCAGGGGATCATGAGATCAAGAGATAGAGACCATCCTGGCCAACACTGTGAAACACCATCTCTACTAAAAATACAAGAAAATTTGCTAGGTGTGGTGGTACATGCCTGTATTCCCAGCTACTTGGGAGGCTGAGGCAGGAGAATCGCTTGAACCCAGGAGGTTGAGGTTGCAGTGAGTCGAGATTGCGCCACTGCACTCTAGCCTGGTGACAGAGCGAGACTCTATCAGAAAGAAAGTAAGAAAGTAAGGAAGTAAGGGAGAAAGAGAAAGAGAGAAAGAGGGAAGGAAGGAAGGAAGGAAGGAAGGAAGGAAGGAAGGAAGGAAGGA